GGGTGCAGGAGTCCAAAGATGTGGGCCCTGGGTGGGAGCAGTCCTCCACAGCTGCACTGCCACCACCTCTGGCCGCCCGAGGTGACCCCATGTCCTGCCCCGGCCCCACCGGGTGCCTGCGTGCACCTGCACGGTTTCACTCTCACCCCCTGGCTCTTGCTTTATGCATTAGTTGCTTCCCTGACAACAGTGTAAGTGACACTTTTGCCAGCCGGATGATCTAGAATGCAGGGGAAGCACTTCCCTCTCGAGAGGAATTCCAGGGTAACTCTTGAGGGAGGAAATCCTCTCATAGCCTCCTCTCAGGAACAGGCCCTGGAGCTTTGGGGCAGTCCATCGCCAATCTCAGGCATGAGTCCCTGGGTCTGGGGGAAGGGGAGGGTGCCTGGATCTCCCATTTGTCCCTGGTGAGGAGCAAGGCCAGCTCTGCCTGCCCCAGTGCTTCTCAGGGTGCAGAGAGGCCTAGAGACCCAGGAACCCCCTTGGAGGAGCCTCACTCGCAGGGGTGCTAGGAAGGGCCTGGCTCCTTGGCACACTGCTTGCTCTGCCATCCCCACTTCTCCTCCACCCCTAAACATGTGAGGCTAAGGCTTTGCCCTGGGGCCAGGAGGCCACTCTGTCACAGGGGTGAGGGCCTGTCCGGCAGTCACTTCGGTCTGGAGACTTCCTGCATCTGAGGAACAGGGAAAGGGCCCTGTGGTCCTTCTGCCTCCAGCACAGTCTCCCCAGCCCATCCCTGTCCTGGGCACTGCATAGCCCATCTGGGGATCAGCTGCCCCACTGCCTACCCCTGTTGTCTGTGAGTCCTTGGCTGCCACCAAGCATGGTGGCCCTTGTGTGCCTGCCTTAGTGACTCAGTGGTTTTGTGAGAAGCAGAGTGTTTATGTTTTTGTTTTTCCTTGGAAACTATACTCTTCAGTGTTAACAGACCAATAAACATAGCATTTGGCAATGCCTGAGCCTCTGTGGGCTGCTTGGGGGCTGGCGCTAGACAGCGAGTGTCAGCACTCCCTATCCCCCGGGGCTGGGCTTCTGGGACCAGAGGGAATTCTACATCCACAGCCATAGGTCTGCTGGCCCTCTAACCCTGGAAGCCCTGCCCACACAGAACTGCTGAATGGAGGCACCTGGATTCCTACTCAGGCCCCTGGCAGGCTCCAGCTGGGGGAGTTTCAGCCTGTCCTTAAGATCCAGAGATAGCCCTCAGATGACACTGGGTCAGCACTGCCAGAGGCCGAGGCTTCATCATCCTCAGTGCCAGACAGTGGGACACTAACCCTAACTATAGGCTTTCCCTAAAGTCAAGGGACGCCTCTCTTCCTGTAGCTACCAGCAGAGGGAGCCAGCATCTCACAAGCGAAGGGGCTGGCCGCGGTGTTGGGCCAAGGAGGGGCACCGGATCTGCCTTTCTCGAGGTTAGCATTTCCTCAGAGAAGGGGACCTCAAGACATTCGTGGCCACCCCGTCCTTCCCTAAGGATAACCCCTCCCAGGAAGAGAAGCTAACTTCATTCCTCTGGCTGGGACTGGGAGTGGGGAAGTTGTAGTCGGGGAGCTGGACAGGGCGGCGGCCTGTCTATAGCTAAGCCGCTTCCTCACCTCCCTGCTTCCTGAGACAGCCTGCCAAAGGGCTGGGTTCCCCTAACTTGGGACAGATGCAGTTTTAAGGACAAGGGTCTTTCAGACCCATCTTAGAACATGGTTCTCTGAGTCCTGACTTCCAACTTCTCGTTCCTTTCCCTTATGGACTCCCCAGATGACCTGGCCTGACTTAGCACCTCAGAAACACCTCCCTTCTCAGGAAGCCTCTCCCCTTTCCTTGCACCCATCCCCAATCCCCAACCCCCCGGGGGTCCTCCACCTTTCCTACTGGAACTTTCTCCAGTTGGGGATCCCTAGCTGTTTGGCAGGCCCCAAGGCAGAGTGGCACACGCTGGGGAACCCTGCCCAGAGCTCTGACTCCCCAAGCTCCCAGGCTAGCTGTGTGACAACACGTCCCCCAGCCACCTCTAACCTTTTTCCTTACCTGCCAGAACAGGGCTAGTTCTTGGCTTATGTACTCCACCGTGCTGTGAAGAGATGAAACAAGATAGCGTTTGTAGGAAGTAGAAAGTATTACAAAAGCATAAGGAAGACCAGCACTGCAGTTCTCAAGGCTTGCTGAGGACTGAACGTTGGTGTCAGAACTGGAAGGCCATATCTTCTAAACCCGACCAGCACGGAAGCTGCTGGAGGACCCGTTTGAGGGTCGCCGACAGGGTGAGACCCCCGATGATTCTTGCTGGAGGTCCTTCCGAAGCGGTCGTGGCCGCCTGTGGCAACAGAGTGACCCGGATGCTGCAGCCTGGCGGCCCCGTCTCTGGTTTCAGTGCAGGTTTATTTCAGTTTTATATTTTATTCCAGGCAAGTGCTTATTACATGGATAGTATTCATGTCTCAATACCTAAAGTCTTGGAGCATGAACAGCCACTAGAATACAGTTCAATAGTAAAAATACAATATGTACAAAATTAGGGTTTTTTTGTAGGTTTTTTTTTTTTTTTTTTTCCCACACAGCAGATGTATCCAAACACATAAAAATCTCTACAGTCTGGGGTCGCTACAGTTTATATTTCAGGAAACGGAGACACAGTGACCGAGTCCTCACTGTAAACAAGGGCCACCTCTTTGGGGGATGGGGATGGAACCCTGGGATGGGGGAGAAGCTGTTCCTGGAGAGCAGGGGGTTATAGTGACCCCCCAATTCCCCTCCAGGCACTCCCTGCCCTTCTTTGGCCCCCAAGGAACCAACCTCCCCCTCTCCCCGAGGTAAAGGCTCCCAGCCAGTGAGCCACTCTTAACGTCAAAAAGTAAAACACGCATGAGAGGTAAGGTGTGTGTGTGTGTATATGTGTGTGTGCACGCACGCGTCCCCCAGGCTGGAAGGGCTGGGGAGGGGGAGGGGCAGGCGGTCCCACATGGTGAGGACAGACGTGGTCCTGACAGCTCTCAGAAGGGAGATGCCCATGGAAGGGCTGGGCGGCAGCTGCCCTCTCGGGCACACAGCATCACAGCATTCACAAACAACAACAAAAATAACAGCAACAACACCCATCGTCACCAATCTGGACATAGTCATTCGGCACTAGATTCGAAGGCCCCCACTGCTGGGGTGGGGAGGGGCAGGGGTGGTGAGCGGGCGGATGAGGTATCTGTGCAGGCCCGAGAGGCCACTGGTTGACACACTTTCAACTCTGGAATGGCCTCAGAATGCAGGGAGGTGAACAGAGCTTGAAAGGGCAGACTCCCCAATGCTTCTCTGACTATTCCCTGGGCACCAGGCCCGTCCAGCTCCCTCTGCTCTTCCAGTTGGTATCACTCAGGGAAAAGCGGAGACTGGTTCCCCAAGAACCAGGGTTGGCAGGAGGTGGCTGCAGGGGCAGGAAGGCAGGGAGCTTGTGGGGTGTGAAGCTCCCTATTGGGGGCCTCTAGGATGATCAGAGGCCTTCCCTTTCCCCACTCCAGGCAAGACAAAGGAGAACAGGCCCCTGGGAGGTCTCCAAGACTAGGAAAGAACTGAAAGGGACCTCTGCCAGCCTCCTCAGTATCCTGTAGGTTGCTCCCCCTGCTCATCAAAGCAAACTTCACACCTATGGACACTGGCTTCCTTTCCCCATGCTGAAAGGCCACCATGTGCGTCCAGGTGGGGAGGCGAGTGTGCACGTGTGTACAACTGTGTGTCTAACACAAGGCCACTTGTAATAAATACCCACATAAAAAGAGAAGCCAAAGCAGTGGGCAGAGACAAAGGCAGGGAAAGAAGCAGGCCCTGCACAAAGGCCCCCTCACTGCCCACCCCAAGCTCAGCCTTGCCCTAGATCCAACTTAAGGACCTTCCTCAGAGGAAGGCTGTGGCACACTCAGAAGAGCCCACTGGAGAAAAGCTGATGTTCATGGGAAAGAGATGATGCCAAAGACAAATTAGCTGGGGCACAAGCAGTAGTCCTCCTCCCTGCTCTACAGGTCCCCCCAGGGCATGAGGGACGCGCGGGGGTGGGGGTGGGGTGATGCAGGGGATTTGGCCCAGGCCCTGGATTTGGACTTCCTAAGACCCAGACCAGAGGCTGCAGGAGGCACTCCAGCATACCCACCCCTCAGGGGCGCGCACGGCTCTGAGCAGAGGCCAGGGAACTGGGGCAGCAGCAGTGACCGCGCTCCAGGCCCTCTGCTTTTGGGAAGCCAAGAGCCAGGCCCAGGGCTGGGGACAGATCCAGAGCAGCTCTCTCCTCAGTCCAGCCCCAGGCCAGCGGTGGGGTGGGCGTGGGGGCAGGATGGCCAAGCCCTTCCTTCCCACCCCCCACCCTCAGCCTACCCTCCTGAGGTCAGGAGCCCAGTGGCAAGGACTGGGGGTGGGGGGCTCAGGGAGCTCAGCAACAGCATGGGATGAGTTGCTGGTAGAGTCTACTCTTAACTAGTTTCTGTGGTAACAGATCAGTGACTACGACTGGGTTGGAGAGCCCCAGGCTGGGGTGCCCAGCTGTCCGGATGGGACCACACAGCAGCTGTGTCCTAGGATCTGTCACCTGTACTCCGAGCAGAGCCCCCCAGGCACCCAGCTCCCCAGCTCCCCGGGCCAAGTTGCTTCAGTCCTGCTCCCTCCCCACTTCCCCTCTGAGGGCCTGGGAAGAGAAGGCTGAGGCTCAGGACAGAGGGCAGGGAGCTGGGCCACCTCATCAGCCAGAGCAGTAGCAGCAGCAGCAGCACAGGAAGGCAGGCAGGGCGGGGAAGTCAGGAGAACACAACAGCCACATCGCACGGGATTGCAGGGTACAAGGTGGGGAGGCAGGAACGGCACTGGAGCTGGCACCAGGCCAGACAGAGTGGCACATTCACCAGAGTGTCTCATCACTTGATCAAGTCCTAGTGCAGTGGGGGTAACCCCCTGCCCTGTGCCCAGCTCCCTGGGGTGGCCCTCCCTCCCCTGGCTCAGAGTCTCTGCACCCCCTTCCCCTAGGAGGCCTGGGGGTGGGTGTGGGGGGGGGGTCGGGCCTGGGCCTGGCTGGAATGTGTGGAGCTGGTGGGTGGGAGAGGGGGGGACGGGTCCCCCTCCCTGCCCCCACTGGGGGCCTCTGAGTGGCCTCCTCCTCAAGCCAGCTTGAGCGTGCTGACTGGGAAGGAGGGCATGGTGACCATGGTCACAGGGTTGAGCACTGTCTGGCCCACCAGCTGGGGGTGGTGCACCACCTGAGCCCCCACAGCTGGCTTCGCCATGACAGTGGCTGGGGGCCCCAGCCCAGCTGTGCCATTCACTTGCTGGTGTGAGAGGGTGTGGGCTATGTGGCTCACCGCCACAGGCTGGCTCACCGCCACGGGCTGCGGATACAGGGGCAGCTGGGAGCCAAGGTGGGCCACGTGGTTGAGGGTGGCAGGGTGCACGGTGATGTGGCCGATGGGGGGTGTGGCGGGGGCCAGCTGCACAGCAGGGCTGGGGGCCGAGGGGGCGATGTGGGCGATGTGCTTGCCACCTGGCCCCTGGAGAACGTGGTTCACAGTCTGGATGACTGAGGCGTGGGTGGTGGCCGTGTGGGCGATGACCGTGGAGCCCCCGCCAGCTGCTGCCACTAGATGGGCTGGAGCCGGCACCAGCGTCTGGGCAGGGGCAGCCGCTGGGGGAGGAGGGGCCGGCAGCGGTGTCTTCTGTGGTGGCGGTGGCTGCTGCCCAGGCAGGTGGACAGGAGACAGGGCCACAGGCTGGGGGTGGGGGTGTGGATGGGGAGGCAGAGGTGTGGGGGCAGCACTGGGCGGGGGCTTCGGCAGCTCCGGATGGGGGCGATGACTCAGTTTAGGTGGGCCCAGGCCAGCCTGGTCCTCCTCCATATCCTCGTCTATGTTGTCCTCACCCTCTGTGGGGGGACACAGGGACAGGGACAGGTTAGAAAGAGTTGGGAAACAAGAGGTTGGAGTAGTAAATGCCCCCAGCGTCCGGGGACAGGGAGCTGGGGGGCAAGGGCCTGGCGAGGGAGGGGCGGGAGGGTGCTCACCAGAGGCCGTGGAGGTGGAGGCCTGGTCGTCCTCGGGCTGGCCAGTCTGCCGGAGCACACGGTCGATCTCCAGCACGTCCATCCACTGGCTCAGCTCATGCTTGAGCTCTGTCAGCCGCTGCTGGGTAGCAATCTTCTCCCTCGCCAGCCGCTCCATCTCATGCTCGTATTCCTTTTCCTTCCTCTTCAGAGACTGGAGAACAAGGCAAGGGCCCGAAGCATACCCTGAGCAGGAGTTCTAAGGCCCCCAGTACTGCCGACCACTCCCCTGGGGCACCCTGCTCTCAAGGTCCCTCAGCCCCCAGTGGTAGGCCTGCAGGGAGGGGGGTGCTGGAGACCACAGCCGCCCCTGCTTTGTGGCCAGGCCCGGGGTGGGGGGAGGCATGTCCTGTGGACTGCAGACGCTCTAGCAGGCACCACGGACAGAAAGCACAGATGCAGGTCAGCTCCCCCCACCCCTGGATAAAAGCCCTCCCCTCCACCCTCCCTGCAGCCTCCTCCCTCCGGCCTGTGGGGGACAGAAGGGGAAACAGACTTCTCGGTGCTGCTCAAGGCACCACTCATACCACGCTGTTGGTCACCGAGCCACAAGCTACCCTCCTTGGAACTCATTCCTCAAAGAACCCCACACGATCGTGCCCTTCTCTTCACAGCATCATCCCCTAGTCTCCTCCACTTCAGTGTCCCTGAGCATGCCCCTGAGACTTTGTGGCACACCGACCCCTCCCCCCGCAATGGACCCCCTGCATTTCTTCCCATCCCGGCAGCTGCTGGCTCTGCCCCCTCCCCCGGCCCACAATGGTGCCTCCCTGGGCTGTCTCTCAACAACGTGGTTTCACGCCCGCAACCCTCTGGGCTCCTCTCCAGGCTGCTGACCGACCCCCAAATCCTGGAATGTGCCCCCCTCCTTCCACACCTGTAGCTGAGTTGCACTGACCAATGAACAATGGCTCCACAGCACCTCTCACAGTGAGCACTGCCGCCACCTCCACCACAGGGTCCGGGATGGCCCTGTCCCATGACCCGGAGGCACCCACCTCACTAAGAACACCAGTAGGGAACGCCCTTGGCCACGGGACCCCTAGCTGCTTCAGCCCCTCCAGGCGCACAGGCAGCTGGGGCCCCTTACACAGGCCATGCCTCCCCTATCAGAAGGATCCCCAGTTTCCCCTCACATGAGAGACTTCTCTGCACCTCCAAAAGGCCAGCCTGTGTCCTCTGCCTCAGCTGTGACCTCCTGACTCTGACGCTTTATTAAACGGACACCTCGAAGTCTCGCAGGCCTCCCCACTGCCAGCTTCTCCTTGGCCCAGGCATGCCAGGAATGCCGGGGCCACCAAACACGGCCACTCTTGCCCTACAGCATCCCGAAATCTGGGAACCCACTCTGCTCCTGAGCTCCTGGCTTCCAAGGCTTGCCGGCCACACAGGTGCCGAACCCACCGACCCTGCACACACCAAACTATCCAGCTAGTCTCGGTTTTCCTCTCTGAACCCTCTCACACACACAGACCCTTTCTCACCTCTCCGCCTCTTATCTGCTTGCGCTCCAAGCCCACACCTGAGCACTTAAGATGATCAGTACTTAATCACACACTAAAATCATCCCTAAAAACTTCCTGTTTTGTCTTTCCACCTCAATACACACTGTCCCTGTCCTCCACTGTGAGTAAAAGCCAAGACTACTCCATAATTAGCTTTTCTCCCTTGACCCTACCAGCAGCCAGGACAGAACTATGCATATCTTAGCCCCAGGGAAAGGATCTGTGAGGATGTGAGCCTGTGGATTCCCACCTCTATCCCGTCCCTCTCCTTTATCACAGGAGAATCGGTCACCCATCACACCGAGTTTCCCTTGACTCCATTTACTACGAGCGGAGCAGCCTTCCAGGATGTTCAGTTGCCCCTCCTGGGTATGGCAAGATCCTCGACTTCACCCACTCCCTCCAGTAACTCTAAACTCTTTGTATTTCTGACCTCGCCACTCAAAGACGCCTCCAACCGCTCCTGCTGCAGCACGTGACCCACACAGAACCTCACGCTGTTCTGGCCTGAGACCTGGTAGCTTTACAGTTCTGCCAGCAGTCCTGGGCCACACACAGCCTCCTCCGCATCCTGGCTTTTGAGATTTAACCTGCTTCTCTCCACAGTTCTGCCGGAAAGTCCCTCCCTTACACACACACACACACACACACAGGAACACACACAACTGGCTTCTCACCCGGCTCTACCCTGAGAGGCCTGTGCTGGACTTGACATCAGATGAGGCCATACCAATGATGGGGCCTGTGGTGAGTCCGCTCTCACCTGAACCTGGCTGCTGGGGGCTGGAAGTGGCTGTCCTAAACTTTACAAAGGGAGAGCAGATTTCTGGCTCTGGGAGTAACTCAGAGGTCAAGACCTCTTTTTCTTAACTAGCCCAGTTCTCCACAAGCCTAGAGGCCCCTGGAAAGTTTCCCCAGATTCTAGCTTTGTCCACACTGCTTCATTTTAAACACATTTCCTAAGACTGCCTGGATGCATAGTTTGGTACCTGCCTACTCCTACTTCACAGTGGCTTGCTTCAAATCCCATAAGCACCTCCAAGCCACCCTGAGTTGGCCAGGGGTGACAGCCTGCCCACTTCAGCACACACCCAGAGCCTTGAGTCTACACAGCTAATGTGGTCTCTCTACTATTTCACTCCCAGCTAGTGCCCTGCTGTCCCCATCTCTCCATGGCAACCCTCGTGACCACCTTTAACTTCCAAAACTGCATTCTGCTCCCCAGTGCTGGAGAAACTTCGGAGAAGGCATTGGGCCTTCTGCCCTCTGCTTTGCCTAGGTCATCCTGAAACCTTCAGGTCCCAGCTTGAATGCCCCTTCCTCAGCTACAACTTCCCTCACTCCCTAGAACAGATTGTGACCCCTGTCCCTATTACATCCTCATGGCACAATCCTTTGTTTGTTTCTATTCTGCCACCAACACCAAACACGTGACTAAAGTATGAAGACAGAGACCCACACTTTTTTCTTTGCTCCCTGCTTTATTCTCAGAATCAGACAGCGCTGTCCAAAGCACCTAAATGAATAAACAAATGAGTGAGGTTAAGGATTTAGAAGGCCTTGTAAGTTTTCTATTTCTGCCTCCGTTGCCAGCCCCGGTACAAGTATCTCTTAAGAATAGCCTGGGTACACCTCGCTGCCTACTCAGCCTAGGCCCATGTCTGCTACCTGTCTATAAAGTGGAATGTGCTATTCCATCCTTCCCATGTCTTAGTAATTGCGATTAAGGTGGTACTTAGAGCGCGAATCCTCCTAACATCCCCAAGAGAAAGATACTATTTTTTTTCTTATTTAGCAAAATGGCAGTACAGAAGAAACTGATATTCACAGAAAACGTCACAGCATTTGGACAAGGATTTGCTCCTAGGTCATGTGACTGTGAATGACTGAAGAACCCATAATATTCTCAAGACCAAGTTCTACAAAGACATGTCGGAAGTAGGCCTCTTGGGGACCCTCCAATCCCCGGTCCTCGGGCCCCTCCTCCTCCTCCTCCGAGGTCAGGCCGGCCGAAATCGAGGCCCCGCCCCTCCTGGAGCACGCGCGCACCCACGCGGACTCGGCTTTGCAGCGTCACTCTGGGCCCGCGGCACCCCACCGATCGGCGCGCGGAAGCCCCGCCCCCACCCCGGCCCTGCCAATCCCCGAGCCCGGCTCCACCCCTCTCGGGTGCCGGGAAGCTGTCTGGAGGCGCGCCAGCCACGCCCCCTCGCCTGCAGGGCGGGCGGAAGGGCGCGCGTTCGCGGGAGGCCGGGAGGGAGCCGCCGGCTCGGAGCAGTGGCGTAATAGCGCCTCCGCCCCCGCGAACGAGTCAGGCTCCGGTTACCTCAGGGCTGTGACCCCGCAGTCTTGGCGGGGGGGACGGGGGGGTTGGGGCCACGCCTCTGGCTCATAGTTCGGTCGGACCCCTGACTACGGGACCTTTGACGCTGCCCAGCTCCCCCTCACCCCCGCCCCCAGGTGCCCGAGTGCGCCGGCAGGGGGACCCCAAGCTGCCCCCGCCCCCACCCCGCGCGGGCAGGGAGCTCTAAGTCCCTCCCACTCCCCAACGGCTCGGTTCCGACTCCATCTCCGCGGCAGCCGAGCGTGGCTACCCGCCCCACCCCCACAGCCTCCTTCCCGGCACGCGGAACCCTCGGCCAGTTTCCAAGGAAACCGAAACACGGGCCGTCATGGCAACTGTCTTATCTGGCGGGAGCCCCCCGCCCGCCCCGTACAGCGGAGGGAAGCCAGTGCCCAAAGGGGATTGGGGCACACGGCCAGGAGGGCCCCCTGAAAAGAGGCTTTTAAAAACCCAAGCAGGAGGAGAGCGTAATTTTTTAAAGGTTCGGTGACCCTAGGACTGCTTTGGTCACCCAGACCACCACATTTCCCCAGCCTCCAGGTTTAACCCCCCAAATCCAGTCGTAGCACCTCAACGCTCTCACTGAAGGATCGTAATCATTCTGGGGTCAGAGTCGGGGGGGGGGGGCTCAGCGGCGCGCCACCGTTCGCAAGCAGCCACGCCCAGGGGACTCCCCACCCCTCCACGAGCGACAGACTCCCGGGCCGAGACCGGGTTCCCGCCCAGGCACTGCGGGCGGGGTGGAGGCGCCGGGGCCGCTCCACGCCCTTCTCACCGCGGGCACACTAACCGCGCCGGACGCTAACGCGGACCCCAGCGCTTGGTCTCAAAACTGAGCTGCGGGGTTGGTGCAGATGGTGGGGGTCCGTGGGGGTCCGTGGGGAGGCCCCGCAGGGGTAGGGGGAGAGGGGAACGCCGCGGCCGCCCTCCCCCGCGCACGCGCGCCGGTTCCCCCGCCCCCTTGCGGGCGGGGAGCCCCGCTGACGTCAGCCGAGCCATGTGCTCACCGCCCGCGTGGAGGCGGGCGGGGGAGCCTGAGAGGGAGCGAGGGCGGGGCAGGGCGGGGCGGGGCCGCGGCTAGGGGAAGAGGGAGGGCGGGAGTGGGGAGGAAGCTGGCGCCGCGGCCACAGCCCGCCCTCCTCTCGGCGGTGCTTCCCTCCCCCATACCTGGATGTACCGCAGCGCCGTCCGCAGCACACTCAGATTCGACGTCTTCTTGTCGTCCACGTTGGGGATGTTGCGCTTTAGGGTCTCAAAGCATTCCTTCAGATGTGCCCTCCTGGGGAGAGGGAGTGGCGCTGGTTAGCCAGCACCTGGGGGATGGGGGTGGAAAGGAAGGCCCCAGGAGCGCTTAGGGGACCAAGGGTGGGAGCAGTCCCCACAGGGGGCGGGTCGGGCCCAGAGATACACACGCAAGCACACACACCTGTTCTTCTCCAATTTGTTGTGTACTTCTCTGGTTCCGATCCTGAAACCCAGACAGACAGGAAGGAGGTTCAGGGAGGACCCAATTCGGTGGCCTTCCTGCCCCCTGCCCCCACTCCCCAAATGCCACAGGTGGTTTTCTTCCCAGATTCTCCGTACAAAGTTGCCATGGGAGACGTTCACCCTGCACTGAGGCGGATATACCCCCTGGAAGGCACATGTATGCTCATAATTCACAATCCCTTTAACCCTCCATCCTGCTCTTGTCCACCTGTGAGGAGACAAGAGGGTCTCCTGGGGCTCACAGAAATAGCCAATAGGCCCCAACCCTCACCCAAGAGATCTCCAATCCAATACTCTGTCAAAAGGCCTGGCAATGCCATCGGCCCACCCTTGAGGGTGTCAGGGAACAAAGAAGCCTGAAAACAACAGAGGCCCATGACCATTCCCCACTCCCTGGGTGGGGATAGACACAGGCATAGTGAGAACTGTCCAAATACAGCAGGGTACTTCTCAGCTGGGGAGGTAGGATAACGCTTTGAAGGATGAGTTTAGGAGGCGGGGATATCTTCTCCTGCACACACTACCCAGAATGTGGGCAATTCTCCATCCCACCAGTCCCGTCTTGGCTACACCTCACTCACCCCCCAGGCCTCTTCTTCTGTTCGCTGGATTTGACTTCTTCCGCTGGTGCCAACTTCAGGGTCCCAAGAGTGGGTGGGGGTGGCTGCTGGGGGGCCAGCTGGGGCTGAACTCCAGGGTGAGGTGCTATGGTCAGGATGGGTGTGGGGAGGGGCTGCAAAGGCTTGGGGCTGCCAGTGGGCGCAAGGGTGGTCTTGGAGTCTGGCAGCAGGGGAGTGGGATTGGGCACCTGTGGCCTAGTGGGCAAGGGAGCAGACTCCTTAATGCTGAGTCCAGGGGTGCTAACCAGGGCTGCCTGGCGAGGTGCCAGAGGCAAAGGCTGGGCTGCAGGTGGCAGTGGTGGGGGTGGGGGCAGGGGCTGAGGAGAGTTGGTCACTACTGGAATAGGAATGACAGTCAGTGGGGTGGGGGTGGCAAGTGGGGGTGGGGGTGCTGGAGGGGGTGCTGGGGGGGACAGAGGTAGGGGTGGTGCTTCAATGCGGGGCTCCTCCACGGGCAGGGCATGGGCCAGCCTGGCCAGGCTGCTGGCCTTCTTCTGCTCCTGCTCCCTCTCCCGCTCCAAGCGAAGCCGCTCCTGCTCCTCTACGCAGAGAGAACACAAGGGGTTTCTCAGTAGGCCAACATTCCTGGGCTTTGGCTTCTGAAGTCTTCCATCCACAAAGCATCCTCTGACCCTGTCCCAGTCAGTGCTCAGGGACATGCCTGCTCAGCCTGAGACACCACAAATGCCCATCCACACCCAGCCAGGCACGGGGGCTAAGTGCTGGGGGCATGGCAGTGAACAGTGAAAAGAGGCCTGGTCTCTGCCTTTGGGGAGCCCAAGACCTAGGGGATGAGAGGAAGGACAAGTAACAGAATAATCCATGCTAGGAGAGGAGAAGGGTGGTAGAAGGACAGAGCAGGAGCTGTCAGATGGGATGCTGGAGGCCTGGCCACCTGAAGGTTAAGGAGTTAGTGGGGCAGGGAAATACAGGAACAACAAGGCTGAGGTGATAGGTATGGTGGGCAGAGAGAGGCCAGTCAGCGAAAGACCTTACAAGCCACCACAAGAGAATGTAGGAGAGGCCAAAAGAGCACAGCTTTTGGGGAAGGTCTTCAACAGTATTTACCAAGCACCTTCCAGAAGTCAGGCAGCATCTTCATTTCAAGATGAAATAAATGAGCTCAGAGAAGTAAAGTGATTTGTTGAGGGTCACGGAGCAAGTAACAGGACCAGACCCAGCCAGGAATTCTGACACCTGGCGGATGCCCTGCTGTGTTAGCACATGCTCACTAGATGTCTGTGTACACACACACACACACACACACACACACACACACCCACACACACACACCCCCGTCTGAATCCTCATGGAAGTCCATGCCACAGGCAGGGCAGGGACATCACCTTCAGTTCACATATGAGGACATCAGGCCCAGGAGTCCCAGGCCAGGTCCCAGTGTCTGGTTTCCTCAGAGACCACACAAAACCCATTCAGTCCTTCTCTGCCTTTTGTGGTGCTAGAACTCATGGGTCCCAAATCCCTCCCCCTGGCCATTCCCACCACCAGCAGCAGAAAGGGAAGAAAGGGAAAGGGAAGGAAAAGGGAAGAGGCAGGCAGAAAGGAAAAGAAAGCAGCCCCACACAGGTCCCTTCAGCATCCCCACGCCAGCCCTGCTTCAAGGTGAGGCCCGCTCAAGGGGCTGGCTGCCACCAGGGGAAGGGGAGGGCCCTTCCTGAGCCACAAGTACCTCCCCACCTCCACCCTGCCCCGGGGCTGGCCAGGCCCCACCAATCCGGTTCCCTGGCTACAGGGCTGGGCAGGGTCCCTAGGGAGCAGCAGTAGCCCCCCAGGCCAGGGTGCAGGCTGGTCAACCAGCCCTTCTGCGGTTGGGGACTGGCCACACTGCAGACTAATTGGGCTGACAGCAGGAGCAGGAAGACACGCCCCAAACATACCACGCCACAAGGGGTGGGGCTGGAGGACCAGGTAAGCTAAGAGCCCCCTACAGAGGAGGGCATCAACCCCTCCTATGGTCTCTGGGGCTGAGGGCCCTCAGGCCAACCAACAAAGTGGGCACAAACCAGGCCTGCTCCAAGCTCCTCCCTCCCGCAAGGGAGAAGAGGCCTGAGGAGGAAGTAGAGCAGGGTTGAGAGAGGGGAAGCACTCAGCGGTCTCCCAGCAGCACAGGCCTCTTCCGTAGCTCCCCTGCCCTTTAGAAAGGGGAGCTGCCAGGCCTGCTCCAATGAGGGCTCTCCCAGGCCTTTCCGGCTGGCACTGGCTTCTGTTACAGCCCCAGAGAAAACCAGCTCTCTGCATTCCAGCTTCCCAGGGACCACACTAGCAGAGAAGTCTGTGGAGAGTTCCACCTACTAGCTACCTAGTCCATCCCCCACACTGCTCCCCACCTCCCCCCACCCCATCCCCTTCCTCTGAGCTCCAGGGCCCAACACAGCCCACCTTCATTCCTTTGGGCCACGACCCAAATTCCTTCATTGGCTTTGGGACCAGGGTTCCACTCTCCCATTAGCAGTGCGACAGAGAGGGCCCCAAGCCCCAAAGACAGGTGCCCTGGTAACCTAGACTGAAAGTAAACCTCATATTCCCCATATTTTAAAGCAACTCCACAGTTCATCCAGGAGATGGCAACCTCCTTCTCACCTACCCTCTCTCTTCCAGGGTCAGGCAGGTATGCCTCTCGGGTGCCAGGAGGGACCCAGGTGAATGGCCAAGCTGTATCACACCTGGATCAGCATGGAAAGTCTTGACTGGTGGTGAAGAGGGGGTGTCCTGGGCCAGATTCAGCCCATCAAAGCTTCCTGCCTCCTCCCCACCCAGCAGCGACCCTCTTCCTATGCCCTGGGGAGGGGGAAACAAAAGGGGGGAAGCAAACTGGCAGTCACTCAGGGACTCCCTCAGGAACAAAACAGATTCAGTCTCTGTGAAATAACACTGTGCTGCACCCAGGGGTGCACTCCCTCTCCCATTCCCAAACATGCACACGAGGGGGCCCCAGAGAATTCAGCATGACACATCTGGGGTGATTCAGGGGCCACAATCAACATTAGGTAGCCTCCGGTGTTCAGGGGGAGTTCTCCCCTTCTTCAGGCCAACAGGGAACTTGTGGATACGGCAGTCCCTCACCCCATGCCTGCCATGTGACTAGGTCAGGTAGAAGAGGGTCTGTCCCATTTAAGCCACCTCCATGAATGATGGAAATGACTTCTTCTTCAATGCTGCTGACCACTTCTTCCCTCTCCCACATGCACGTGTGCACACATCCTCCCACACATCCACCCTTGAAATTGAAATGGGGCATGGACAAGAGAATCCCTGTTCAGAGCTGCTCATCAGGTCAGCAGGTCCACACACGACCTCTTCTCTCCCACCATCCCCACCCCAAGTCAGAGGACAGAATCTCAAGGAGGGGGAAGATATGAATTTGAGATTTAAGGGCTGTGGCTAGGTCTAGCCATGTGTGCATGTAGGCTTTTGGACTCCATCTGGCTTTGCACCACCCATTTCCTAAGAACTCCTGGCCCCAACAAGAAGGAACTGTGACCAGTCAGTTAAACAGGGCCTCTACTCAGCTCCCTGCCCCCCAGTTCTGACCACCTGGGGGAGGGGCAGGGCTCTGCACTTCTTAGGAGGGAACCATTCCCAGGCTCCTTCACAGTGTTGCACACATCATCGCTGTCCTTCTTACTGCCAGCTCTGGACTTAGTATTTTGGAAAAGGTGGGGGAGATGGCAGTGGGGGCGGGGCGGGCTTCTCCCCTTCCCCATAAAACCAATCAGCCTGAGGGCAAACTGAAGGTGAAGTGAGTGCTCCCTTGGGGAAAAAGCAGGGTCAATCCTGTTCACCTCTAGCACAGTGCCTGAGAGGACACAATAGGTACCCCTCAAATGCACTGTGTTGATGGTGGCAGCAGGTGACTCAAGTCTCTCCAGTTCTTGTCCACGCACCCCCCTCCCCTCGCGCATTCGCTGCGTCCGCAAACGGGGCATTCTCGGTCACAACCAGCACTGCCCAGGGCCTGACCCTGCTGGGGACCCCGGAGATAAGGAGGAGGGGCACGCGGGCTGAGGTTTCGGCCCATCAATCTCGCAAAATCCAAGCATCTCACTCTAACAGATCTCGAGTGACTCCTGACCTTGAGAGGCCGGTCGACCTACTAGGCCGGGCGGACCCGCCGCTCCCCCGCCCCTGGCCCGCTGCCGCTCCCCCCACCCAACCCCCTCCGCCGCCGCGGCAAAAGCTGCAGGGCGCGCGCGCACACACAACACACACTACTACCTCCTGCATGACTCATCATTGAAGCAACAATAGGCAGAGAGAAAGGAAAGGAGGGCGAAGCACTCTCTTCACCACAACGAACCCGTCAGGAGGAGGGGAGGGGAGGCTGGAAGGGACAGGAGTCCCCGGATATCGTACACACACCGATCCAGGGCCTCGGGCCTCACAATGGTCGAAAAACGGAGGTCTTTCCCTCCAACCCCTAATCCTGCAACACCATGAAGCTGGGGACCACCGACAGGGCGGGTGGGACTGGAAGCATCCGAAATCCTCCTTTCCTAACGGAGGGAACGCCAAAGTTTGCCCCTTCTCCGCCTGGCTCATTCCACAATGTGGCTAGGGGTACTGCCAGGAGGTCCTGGTGAGAACGTTCCTCCAAACGTCAATGGGAGTATGTGAGCTCTAAATGTCTTGTCACCCTGCGATTCAGAGGGCTTCCCTCGCCCCAGGATCAAAAACAGGGAGGTTGGGGCGAGAACCGACAGGTGAGCTCCGCGGCTCCTCCTCCCAGTACACAGGCTCTCCCCGGGAGGTGCCCGGCGGCCAGAGCCAGGGCCCAACCCCGCGCAAGGCCACTCGCCAGCCCCGCCCTGGCCCCGCCCCCGGCCGGGCGCGAGGCAGCTGGGAGGGGCCGGGCCGCACAGTCCCCAGCGGGAGTGTCCCCCGTGCACGTGGTCGGAGGCGGAGCCAGTCCACGTCACCGCCCGGTGTAACCAACGGGTTTGGAACGCAGGCACACGCAACATTCCAGCCGAGAGCGGGTTTGGAACGCGCAGACACGCCACATTCCACACCGGCTAAAGTGGGGCGCAGCAAGGGGGGCCCGGGGACTGCCCCCAGCGACCTGCGGACCGTTTCGCAGACACCCAATCCGCCCAGCTCTCACCCAAATCCCTGAAGCGCGACCCAGCCCAGCCTTGGGAGGCGGGGTCAGGCGGGGCTGGCCAGGATCATAAGACACGCGATGTCATTTCATTCTGCAAAGGCCGCCTCCGCCCCAAGCGGCGCGTAGATCGGCCGGGAGCGCCCCCCGCACCCTCCCCACAGGGCCAGGGAAGCCGGGGAGCTGCTCCGCGTAGAGTAATTCCCACCCCCCACTCTGTTACACACACGCCCACTCGTGTGCACTATACACTCGCCCGTGTACACGTCCGTTCATCCGCTCTCCTCGAGGCTCGCATCACACATCCCCCGTGCACAAACGCACGCACACGCGGGTCTGCCACCCCCACGCAACACCATTCCGCACCCCACCCCCCACCGACTCACACATCCTCAGCGCTACCGAGGGCGCCGCTGGCCCACACGAAAGGTGCACACGGGGTGGCAGGCAGCTGAGGTGGCGCCCACAGGAGCCGAGTCCCTCACTGCATGTTAATGAATTCATTAATTAATTTTACTGCCCCCAACACTTCTCCCCGGGCGGCGGCTCTTGTGCGGAACCTTGAGCTGCCCCGCTTCGTGGGCCGCCCAGGAAGGCGTTCTGCGCGCGGTTTCGCGTGGGTTCGGAGATCAGGGTCGCTCGTCTCCCCTTCCCCGGTGCCCCAGGGGCCCAGCCCGGCCGCTCACCACGTGCTCTCTGTTGTTGCTGCGCTTGCCATTCCAGGAAGCGGGCCGCCTCCAGTAGCGTCTCTATGCTCATCGCGCCGAGAGCTGCCGGGGGCGCGCCGGGGCCGAGACTGCGGCCCGCGAGCCGGGCACAGGTCAGGCTGGCGGGCAGGCAGGAGGGAGGGATCACCTCCGGGGGGCGACAGGGCTGGGCGGCGCAGCGCACTCCGCAAGGAAGAACGGGAGAGCACGGAGAGAAAAAATTAATGTTTCCCAAAATATTTGCAAAATATAATTTGCAAATTTAAAAAATTTTGGTGCAAAAAAACAAAAGGCGGCACTGCCTCCCTCCTTCCCCTCCCTCTCTTTTTCCCCCTCTGACGCCTCCCGCCCCGCGGCCCCCGGGAGTCCCGCCGACAAG